GAGGCTTGCAAACACTTAAAAAATAAAGTTTGCGTTTTCTGTATAGCTAAATTAACTTCTACCTAGTAGGAAAACTGCTATTCCTCATAGGGCATGCCTATCAAATGTAATTTCAAAGGTATTAGAACAGAGTTTCAGTATATTTACCTAAACTCATCTGCAAGAAAACTGTCTTTGTAGCCCATACATTTCAATAATTTAGTGTTTACATGAATTCCAATATATATCTATTTTTGTCAAAGTCAGTGGATATAAAATTTGTTTTCTTTCTTTCCCCTTCAAACACCTTGGTCTATACCCCTATTATCTCTCACCTGAATTATTGTACTAGCCTCCTAATCAATCTCCTTACTTCTTTCCCTTCTTAAATGTGTTAAAAACAGTAGCTTTTAAAAAGTAGTGCTTTAAGAATGAGTCACATAACATCAGGCCTTTGGCAAAGTTCACCTGACAGGTCCCCATGTCTCTCAGAATAAAAGGCAAAGGACATCCCATTACAGCCTGTGCCCACTCTCTTTAGCCTTCTTAATTTCCTGCTAGTCTTGCCCTTATTTTTCCCACTTGTCATTGCTGTTGAGCACACTAGGTACGCTCCAGCTTCAGGGATTTTATATTTGTTCCTTCCACATGGGATACATTCCCTGTGATGTCTGCATGGATTCCTTACCATTCTTAGGTCTTAACTCACATGCCATCTTCTCGGGCAGTCTGAGGCCTTCTCTTACCACCCAGCAATAAATCGCAACTCCCAACAGTCCTCCTAACCTGCCTTATTTTTCTCCATAGCACTTATTATTATCTAGCATACTATAGCTTACAGTAATTTATTTTTTCTTGTCTTTCTCTGTCCACAGAACTAAAACAGTGGAAAGGTCCCTGCTCTTTCCATGCTTGACACATAATAAGTGTTAATAAATATTTGTTGGATGAATGAATGCTCTTTCAGAAACAATTCCTTTTTTATATGTAAAGTGTAATTTTTCCCCCTGTATACCTGACCTAATACAAAGACTATTGTAATTAGCATTCATTTTGCACGTAAAAGAACAATGATGCAATTGAACTACTGATGTTAAGATTAACTTACACAACAACCTACTATTCCAACCATGCATCTACTTTATCAGTCAACACATTTTTATTCTAAATCCGATATTTTCAAGGTACTTTGAAGTATATGGAATGCCTACCTTAAAGAAGTTATATTAAAATTGAAAGAAACCAACTAAGGATTCAAGGAACTAAGTGGTTCTTTGAAAGATGGGTAATATGTGGGTTGCTGGTGAGACAGAAAATACCCAGCAAGAGGAATGCTAGGTGTGAGGATGTAGAGTTGTATCTGGTGAACTGTGAATAGATCAGCCTGAGGTTTTTAGAGCCAAGAGGAGAAGCGAAGGTTCATGTGGAGATCTTCAAGTGACAGGCTGACGAATGTATTCAGCAGTCCATACCTCATGTGTCTCATACCAGGATCCTCATTCACCTGACAGTACTCGGTAACACGGAATCATTAGAAGCCATAAGATAAAGAGGATGCAGTTTCCTACTGTGCTAGTTTTACCTTAAATAGTGAAGAAAACCTCATAATTAACTGAGAAGTAATGTTAAATATCTATAGTAACTTGAATATGAGTTATGATTCTATATTTTCTTGAATTCTTAAGAAAGTAAGAGATTTCCAAAGAATTTTAGATTATTACCTGCTTCTTCAAGGTTTGTTCTCAGACCCTAATTCACACTAACTGATCATTCTCCCTACCTTTGGGATTCTTGAAAGAAAAAGTGTGATTTCCACGTATATTTTAGGGAGTCATTACAGATTGTCGCGTAGAGAAAGAGCGAGCCATATTTCTAATAACTTTCACAACTGAAATCATTCTATTATCTTTCTTTAATACTTTCATTCTGACTTAATGATGGCAAACTTTATTTTCATTCTTCTTCAGCTTCATAAGGCCAAATTATGGTTTTATAATAAAAATACACCATATTCTAGAAAGCAAAACACTACAGACAAGGTTCATTAGAGGTATCACTTATAAGGCAAGTGCATTTTTTGTTTGTTGTATTTCTTACCTTCTTTTCAATGGAAAGAAATCTGCATGATTCTTTTAATTGTTCTCATATCGGAAATAAAGAAATGCAATTCAGTTTCTTAACATAGCCACAAATGGCTTGTTAATTAAGAAATCCCATCTCACGTATTAGTAATCTAGGGAAAAGGGAGCTTTTAATCTCTACAAGTCTGTTTTCCTGTGATTTGTCAATTGTTGGTAAGAGAAGAATATTTATATCACAAATGCTGTGAAAATAAAAATTACAACTACAGTGTAGATCCTTGCATTGGATACACATGTAGTCTGGTGGGGAGGGAGTGTATTTACACGAATAAAGCCTTAGAAATCCTTTGAAAGCTTCTGACATATTAATACAATCATAGAATCTTAAAGTTAGAATCTTTTACACAATGTAAGAACTCCCCAAAATGGTCTTTCACATAGTGGTTATAAACTTTTTTTGTATGGAGCACTTGCTAGTTTTGCAGGCAGTTTATTTCATTTGATTAAACTTTTGTTTCTCATAATGATGTGATTTAAAAAATAATAATGTGTATCCCTTAGTCCTACGCCTAACTTGCATAATTAGACATAATATTCTAAGCCTGGTTTCCTGTAATCTATATGCCACCCATTAAAATATGAGAACAAATATATACCATCCCTACTGAGTATTTTGTGGATTAAACATCGTATGGTCTTTCAACAGTCCCACACGTGGCAATGTTTTTTGATGTTTCACTGTATTGATCATCTCTCTTTGAATACATTTCTTTTAAATAATGTCTGCCTTAAAAGCAGCCCAGTGTATGGTAGAGTTATTATTACAACTTGATCTCTATATTAATTCTCCCTTTTCTATGGTATGAGGAAGAATCAGGTAATTTATNTGTGTATCACTTAGTCCTACGCCTAACTTGCATAATTAGACATAATATTCTAAGCCTGGTTTCCTGTAATCTATATGCCACCCATTAAAATATGAGAACAAATATATACCATCCCTACTGAGTATTTTGTGGATTAAACATCGTATGGTCTTTCAACAGTCCCACACGTGGCAATGTTTTTTGATGTTTCACTGTATTGATCATCTCTCTTTGAATACATTTCTTTTAAATAATGTCTGCCTTAAAAGCAGCCCAGTGTATGGTAGAGTTATTATTACAACTTGATCTCTATATTAATTCTCCCTTTTCTATGGTATGAGGAAGAATCAGGTAATTTATTTTGTTTTGCTTTGTTCATTTCATATATTTTCCTTATGTCTTAATCTGTGCATGAAATTTGTTTGTTATACATTCACATTCTAATAATGTTTAGGAATGTGCTGATAGTTCTATCTGTATAAGAATTGCAGCATGAGATTTACATATGCCTTACTAACTTACAGACCATTATATTTTACTGAAACTCAGTGTGTAATCACGTCCTATTAACAATATTATGGTTTTTTTAATTTAAAATGTTTGCACTGTTATTTCTATTTTAGAAATGTGTTTACTAGATTACATTTTACTTATTTCAGTTTCTTCACTTTAAAGAGTTTTACTAGTTAGAATTTATTTTGATTTCCTCAGTAAAATTAGTAATGCAGTTGGTCATTTTCTCTTTACAGATTGTTCGGTTCAAGGAAATGAAGAATTCAGAATAATTTTGGTAAATGGATTCCAATATGGGGAATAAGAATAAGCTGAACAGTTGACCTGCTTTGAAGAAACATATTGTCTATTTATCTAAAATAATCTATAACAATCAAACCAATCAAAATGAATTCAACATTATTTTCCCAGGTTGAAAATCATTCAGTCCACCACAATTTTTCAGAGAAGAATTCCCCATTTTTGGCTTTTGAAAACGATGATTGTCATCTTCCCTTGGCCATGATCTTTACCTTAGCTCTTGCTTATGGAGCTGTGATTATTCTTGGGGTCTCTGGAAACCTGGCCCTGATCATAATCATCTTGAAACAAAAGGAGATGAGAAATGTTACCAACATCCTGATTGTGAACCTTTCCTTCTCAGACCTGCTTGTTGCCATTATGTGTCTCCCTTTCACGTTTGTCTACACCTTAATGGACCACTGGGTCTTCGGTGAGGCTATGTGCAAGTTGAATCCCTTCGTGCAATGCGTTTCAATCACCGTGTCCATTTTCTCTCTGGTTCTCATTGCCGTGGAGCGACATCAGCTGATAATCAACCCACGAGGATGGAGACCAAATAATAGACATGCTTACATAGGTATTGCTGTCATTTGGGTCCTTGCTGTGGCTTCTTCTCTGCCCTTCTTGATCTATCAAGTGTTGACTGATGAGCCATTCCAAAATGTGACACTCGATGCATTCAAGGACAAGTACGTGTGCTTTGATAAATTTCCATCGGACTCACATCGATTGTCTTACACCACTCTCCTCTTGGTGCTGCAGTATTTCGGTCCACTCTGTTTTATATTTATTTGCTACTTCAAGGTAAGAAAACCTTTTCTCCCGTGATTGGCATTTTTACCCCCTTTGCACAGAATTTCTTATTGAGTGGTTTTACTTGAACGCTTTATTTTCCCTTCCATAGATATACATACGCTTAAAAAGGAGAAACAACGTTATGGACAAGATGAGAGACAATAAGTACAGGTCCAGTGAGACCAGAAGAATCAACGTCATGCTGCTGTCCATTGTGGTAGCATTTGCCATCTGCTGGCTGCCCCTTACCATCTTTAACACTGTGTTTGATTGGAACCATCAGATCATTGCTACGTGCAACCACAACCTGTTATTCCTGCTCTGCCACCTCACAGCAATGATATCCACCTGTGTCAACCCCATATTTTACGGATTCCTGAACAAAAACTTCCAGAGAGACTTGCAGTTCTTCTTTAACTTTTGTGATTTCCGGTCTCGGGATGATGACTATGAGACCATAGCCATGTCCACCATGCACACGGATGTTTCTAAGACTTCTTTGAAGCAAGCAAGCCCAGTCGCATTTAAAAAAATCAACACTGATGATAATGAAAAAATCTGAAACTGCTTGTAGCATATGGTCCCAGATGACATCTGTTTAAAAACAAGCACAACCTGTAACAGACTTTCATTACCCGTTCTCCCAAGGAATGGGGTTGAAATCATTTGAGAAAGACCAGGTTTTCTTGTCTTGCTTTTTACTGCTTTTGCTATAGTGTCATGATTTCATTTGGAACAAAAGGCATGGACTTTGGAGTCTTCTGGCAATAGTTTTGATCAGACATCTTTGAAGTGCTTTTTTGTGAACTTATGCATATTAATATGAAGACTTTTGTACTGTATTTATTGGAATGAAATTTCTTCAGAGTATTACTATTAACTGATTTCAGGAGCACCAGCCACCTGACATTCTTAGATTGGGCCATCCTGACAAGATTAGATTGTCAGCGGGTTGGGCCATCCTTATTTAATGATAGGCATCGTTTTACTGTCTTACAGAGGTGACAGCATGTAAAAGCAGCGTTCAGGATGTGGGGCCAAAAGAGAGTCTGAAGTCATCCGTGAGGGATTTGCTTTCAGGAGCACCAGCCACCTGACATTCTTAGATTGGGCCATCCTGACAAGATTAGATTGTCAGGGGGTTGGGCCATCCTTATTTAATGATAGGCATCATTTTACTGTCTTACAGATGTGACAGCATGTAAAAGCAGCGTTCAGGATGTGGGGCCAAAAGAGAGTCTGAAGTCATCCGTGAGGGATTTGCTTTTTTTTAATTTTAAGAGAGAACTTAATTTGCTCCTAATTGATTATCAATTAAGTTAATATAAAAATGCATCTCAGCTGTGAATATCATGAGGAATTAGACCACCCACAAGAATTAAGTGGAAAAGCTGTTCTCTAACTTCAAAATTATTTTGGTGCCTGACAACCAAAGCATTTTAGAATAATTATTTTCATAAGTAAATTAGTATTGCTGCAAATAGTTTAATTATATTCACTTGAATAGATGGGCAGGAGGTTCTCCATTCTTTAAAGACTGTTCAGTGTTTGTCAAGCTTTCTGGTATAAATACGTAATTCAAAAGGCATTTTCAGCTTACAATATATAAAAACACAAAAAGTATTTTCCATATAGCAGTGCCTATGTAGTAACTCATTTTTAACTTTCAATGTTCCTCTTTCAAAGCAGATGACACCTAGTTATAATGTTAAAAGAATGTTCACTCCAGCTGCCAGGAAAAATACTAAGAAGTGAGAACACTTCATATAGCCCGTGTTAACTTATACAAACTGTGTAACTTGTGGCATCTTATAAATAATGCACTATATAAAGTATTGAGTACTTGTGTCATGTTAATACACTAATTTCATGTATCTTGTAATCATGATTGAGCCTCAGAATCATTTGGAGAAATGACACTTTAAAGAACAAGGCATATCTTCAATGTATTATACAGACAAAGTATTAAATGTGTTTGATTTTAGAAGAGCAGACACTTTATTAAAATTGTTTTTGCTTTTTCTGAGAAGTCTCTTTTGTGTCTGTCTTCAGCTTCATTTTTGTCTTGTCCCATGACTCCCCTCCTATGATCTCACAGCTTGCTGTCTGTGTTTGCTAATGAAATATTTTCCACCCTGTTGTAACCATTGATGGTCCAGTCTTCCTCCCTTGCTAAATTGTAAGCTTCATGAAGACAGGGACTGTCTCACATGACTGTCCTGGTGCATATGGTACAGTGCCAAGTACTTAGAAGTTTTTCAAAAAATATTTCTCCAACAAATGAATGAATAAACAATGACTGAATTTCTTTTCTTCTCATTTATGATCATATTGAATTCTCACCTGAAGTTTTCTTGTATTTCTAAGTTAGTCTTTAACAAGAAGGTGTTTTCTCTTTTTTTATATATATTATTTTCACTTCTAAATTAAACAAGAATGACATTTTAGATTTTAGAAACTTGCATCATCAATCTTGTAAGTCAAATTAATATTAAACTTTTTACATTGAATGCTAATATGAAATTAAATTATAGCCTAAGAATGTCCTTTAGTCAACTGAATAAAGAAAAACAATGCTGACATCAACTTCTAATGTTTATTGGAAAATATCATCATCTTCCCTTAGCCAAACCTGGAATTCTTAAATACTTGATGTTTTTCCACTTTTGGAAACTAATGGGAAATCCTGTCTTTTTCTACTTAGATGCTATGGAAACAAATTGCTATTTGGAAACAGTCTTAATATGCAGGCACTTCTTTGCCAGCACATTTGCTGAGAAAGCCATTTCTAGGATTCTCATTCAGCTGTGTAGGCTGCTGATTTCTTAACTTTACATAAATAATGAACTGAATATCAAATTTTTCTATATTATCCAAAGATGTCCATGAGCTAATAATAGTAAAGAATAGGGTCAGCAGCAGATGCATTAGAGTTCGAGAAGAAATAAGCAGCCCTATTAAACATGAACTGTGGGACAATTGGGTTTTCTTAAATCCAATAACAAAAATCAATTATTAGCTTAATAGAAGAACAATTAAAATGTAGCTCATAAAATTTTCAATAAATTCTTCATAGCTAGAATTTTTAAGCTTAGTATGTGCCAAGTACTATGTCAAGTACTTAAGTACCTGTGAGGATGTAGTGACTAATATTATTGTCACTTCCTATTAGAGGAAACTGAAGCTCAAGCTGAAATATTTGTCTGAGCGACACCTTGAGTAACAGGCAGAGCAGGAATCAAACCCAGGTCAATTCAGGGCTGCTAACCTAATCACCTAGTACACCTGTGACAGAGTTTTGGATAGTAGATATTTTTCTCTCTGTACAAGTTACAATGTTAGGGAATGACAATCCACTCGCCTCTCTGATTTTAGGTGTGAAAAGGAATGGAGTGAAGTAGAATAGTCGAGAGAAAGTGGCCATTATGATTACATGTATCCATAACCCCCTTCTGAATAGGAGAATTATGCTTAAAAATAGAGTTTGATTATTTACATTAATTTTATTTCTTTACTGTTAACTGGATACTATCATCTTCCTTAATTCCACAAATTCCAAAGGAAATAAAATACATTTTATCCTGTGATTTTAAAATTTGGTAGCCAAACAAATTAGACATTTTGACAATAAAAATAGTTATCCACACAGTGGTGGGCAGAGGCAGGTGTAAGTTGGGGTTCCAGGGAGGAGTCTGGCCTTGGGCCCTCACTGCGATTCAGTGAGTTTATGGGCACTGCTACGTTTTTTGTCATAGCCAGGGCTGCTTCTTCAGCAATCAAGGATTCTGCTGGAATGACGGTAGCTCCTCAGTGAGATTAGAATTCTTCCATAGTCTTTATATTTTCTTTATCTACTTATCCCTGTGGGCCATTAAATAACTTGTCAGACTTAAGCATCTGAGCTGGTGAGCATGAGAACATCGTTTATATATAATTCTACAGCGGCTTTATTTTTATTGCTATTCATTTCTTGGTTTCCTACGCAGCTAAACTACCCTATAAAATACTACTTTTGTTTTCCTCATTTCACAGATAAGGAAACTGAGGCATGAGAGGTTATATAACTATCCCAGTGTCACTCAGCTAGTAAATGACATAGCCAGGACTCAAATCCAGGCAGTTTGGTTCCTGAGTCTTAATATGACAATGAGTCTTCAACCAGCAGACACTGAAAACCTTCCCCACATGCCAGCTTCTGCCTGAATCCCCAATCCCTGCCTCTCCTATCTGCCCATTATTGGATCCCCTCATGACCTCATCGACAGTCCAGGTATGCTCCAATTGTAAACTTCTTGGAAATATAAAAAATCGATATTTTTCAAAGTCATCCTATGAGATTTAAGACAAACTCCTAATTATAGAGATGTAGGCACAGTTGCAGAATGAGAAACAAATCTGTTCCATCCAAGGATTATCAGTGTAAATCTGTATTTTCTGTTCATGGAGGTCTCTATTTCCTCTGCCCTCTTGGTTTATACAATCCCTAATCTTTATAATTTTGTAGCCAATGCCTGAATCATCTTCTGGGAACATTTTCCTGATAAGTGGCTGAGGCTTTGAAACCTGACTAGTTTCTATCAACTTTCTCCTTTGGAAACTGGAATGTTACCCTATATGGTCCCATATTCTAGCCTACAGACTAGGGACATGCCATCTGTGAATAGAGTTTTAGAATGAGGACTACTGCCTACCTGACTTCTAAATCTTGAATCCTATCTGGGAAAGAACAAAAAGGACTATCAGTTACAATTGTTCACTAAGGCTGAACAGTGTTTCATTCAAGCCAAAAAAATACTGCAGCAAAGTAATTGATAGAATTATACAAGTGCTCTGTCACCCAGCAGCATTATGCTCCAGTCTGTGTTTGTTTGTTTTTAATTTAATAGAAATGTATTGATTAAACATATTTATGGGGTACAGAGTTATATTTCAATACATGTATACAATGTGTAGTGATCAAATCAGGATAGTTAGCAAATTTATCATCCCCCAAATTTATTTTTTTGTGGTGAGAAAATTTAAGCTCCTCTCTTTTAGCCATTTGACAACATAACATAAATTGTTGGTGACTATAGATGCCTAGTACTACTGTATAACAGTAGAACTTATTTTATCTATTTAGCTGTAATTTTGTGTCCATTAATGAACCTCTCATTGTCCTCCTCCCCCCTCCTCTTTTTTTTTTTTTTGTCCTTTTTTGAGACCGGCTGCACTGCGCTCAGCCAGTGAGTGCACTGGCCATCCCTATATAGGATCCGAACCCGCGGCGGGAGTGCTACTGCGCTCCCAGCGACGCACTCTCCCGAGTGCGCCACGGGCTCAGCCCCTCCCCCCTCCTCTTTCCTGCCTCTAGTAACCACAGTTCTACCTTCTACTTCTAAAAGTTCAAATTTTATTATTATTATTATTATTGTTGTTGTTGTTGTTAGCTCCCAAATGAGTGAGAACATGTGGTATTTCTCTTTCTGTGCCAAACTTATTTAACTTAACATGATTCTCTCCAAGCTCATCTAACATGCTGCAAATGGCAGAATTTCACTCTTTTTCATGGCTGAGTAGTATTCCACTGTGTATATATATATCACTTTTTCTCTATCTAATCATGGATCAATGGACATGTAGGTTGGTTCCAAATCTTCACTATTATGGATAGAGTTGTGATGAACATGGCAGTACAGGTATCCCTCCAACAGGATGATCTGTTTTGCTTTGGGTATATAACAAGTAGACAGTGGTTGTTTTGTATGGCAGTTCTATCCATAATTGTTTGAGAAGTCTTCATCCTGTTTTCCATAATGGATGTACTAATTTACAATCCCACCAACAATGGTAAGAATTCCCCTTTCTCTGCATCCTTGCCAGCATTTGTTATTTTCT